CGTTCGCTGACACTACACATGTACTGGTTTGACTTTTCTCTCTCCTAGAAATATCATTGTCATAATTCACAAAAAAAATAAAACAAGACAATAATTTTGGTTAATGATAACTTACTACTTTCAAAATCTGCACGAGTCAACATATCTAAAATCCATTGAATAAATTGTGTTTCAATTTTTTTTCTCAATAAATTCATATTATTTGTGGATTCTGCAGTAAGTTGCATGGTTGTATACAATTTATGTGTTTGATTCCAATAATGTGACGATGATAATGATGATGATGATGATGAGATTCGTGGTGGTGAAGTATTTTCATTTCGACTTAATGAATTTGTGGATATAAATGTACAAGATACATGTTTTGTTGGTTTCTCATGAATTTTATGATTATTGATTGACAAGGATGGTTTCATAAGCATATGAGCAGTTGTACGATGACTAGCTAAACATTTCGCTTTTGTATCTAGAAAAAAAAGTGAATTTTGATACAATATGCAATTCAGTTTCATGTAGTTTTTTTTAAATTTGAGATAATACAAGACATTTTAATTTGGAGCATTGAATTAGCATACCATTCCACAAACTACCATTGTTATCTTCAAGTCTTATTAGATGCCATCTCAGTCAGTCAGATGCAACGTAGAACTTCGTACGTAAGTACATCAGTTCATGTTGCCATACCATACCAGCACAAAGATATAATTGTCTATTCAAATCCAATAGTAGAAGAGGTAGTTAATGTATTAGAAGTAATCGGAGAGGTTAGGATTAGAAGATATTGCTCAAGAAATATAATTCAGTGAGAAAAATTTAGAAAGTCAAAACTAGAGGTGTTGAAGAATCCAGAAGATTAGGATTTGATAGAACGCAAAGAATAAATGCACCGGCACAATTGCGAACGGCTTTGAGTCATGTCATTCAGGGTATCTAACCATCGATTATTATCATCTCGCGGACCCCAACCAGGTAATCGACAATTACCGACATGGCTAAGTCCACTCGTCAATGACTTCATGGATTTCTGCCATGTTTTGGTTTGGCCGCCCCTAGCTTTCTAAATGCCATCTAACCGGATCAATATTAACATTGTGTTCAAAACAAAATCTGAAAGAATCTTGAACTCCACTCCATGAGGGCTTATAGATGTGCACATTTAAAAATTAGTTATAAGCAAAAACTTAACAACAATGCAACATTCTTCGATCAAAGTGAACGGTGAGTGGCTAGCAAGTACAGAATGATATAGTTTTATGCATTATATGAATAATAGATTATTTCATACTGCAAACTGATTCTTCATACTTTCTCAGCCTGTATTATAACAACTTATGTTATTATGATTACAGATATTTGGTTTTTGACGAAATAGTCAGATTATGAATTACTATGTTTACCTTGATTTATTCGAACCTAACATAATAACAGCCCTCACTCGGAATCCTCCAGGTAAAAGGAAAAGAGGAAGGCCAAGGAACACAATACGCCAAGAAATGGAGACAGAAATCACATGGCAGACATGGACAGAATTGGAAAGGGAGGCCCAGGACAGAGTAGGTTGGAGAATACAGATCGGCGGCTTATGCTCCATTGGGGGTAACAGGCGTAAGTAAGTAAGTAACATAATAACAGATTCTCATACACGGTTGCGAAAAAAAATGTATAATAATCCAGAAATTTTGATTCCATCTCAAAGAAAAAAAAATATATACTGTTTTATTCCAATTTTTGTAAAGATTAAGCGAAATCAAAATAATTGCAATTCATCAAATGATCAATTAAACTAACCTGTAGGAAAAAAATATTGAACAAAACAATCTAAATCACCCCATGGTACAGCTCCATTATAATTGGAATCATATTGAAGTGGAATGTGTGGATCGAAATCAATTAATTGTTCAATAGTTATACCAATTTTATGCTCAACTAGTAGTAAGTAGATGTATGTGTGTTGTATTGAATTTTTTTGTAGAAAGAAAATGGAAATAAACAGAAGAATTAATGATAGTTATGAAGTGATATGAAGTGAAAGCAATCGAAAAATGTCTTTAAAAAGGTGACTCTACTTGATATTCAGTCACTCCATGTTTTACAAGAGGGCAAGAACAAAGAATTGAGCAGAATCATATGAATAGATTTTAGTTTGTATGGATCTTATCAATTACTTACAACCTATATTATTGTAAAAATCAGAATTATTGTAATGTTTACATCCCAGCAACAAGGGGCACGTTCCATGGTGAAAGAGTTATGAGTATATGAACTTTGCAATACTTCTGAGTTAAGTAGTACTCTTTCATTTAGAGTGTTTTTACACATCGAAATCATCAATAAATCATTGTTAGATCACCTTTAGAAACCTGGAAGCTATGAAAAATGGCCCTTAAGTCCTGATATGGGACTCATCCGCAGTGAGCATCGACGACTACTGCTACAAGCAGGACTCGAACCAGGGACTTTCAACTTCGCGCGCGAACGCCTAACCTCTGAACCACTGGGCCCGTATCCTACGGTGTTATGAGTTTTAAACAGCTGATGAGAAACGTACAAAATAAAATGTATTCATGTTATTCTGCTCTATACTTTGCTCATGCCCTCGTCAAGATAATAAAAAAGGAACTATTTGTATGAAATTTCTCAAAAAGCGCTTTATTGCTTGTCTGTGAGAAATGGTTGTTAATACAAAAATGATCCAACTGAAATTCATAATAGTAAATGTTTGAATGTGTAGCTTGATGATTGAAAATTTATCTTTTTATTATTTTTAAGAGATCTGTCAATTCTGTTTGATCATTTCTTTCTTAATCGGTTGCATTTTGTGAACTTTACTACACTACTCACTAATATTTTGATAATATATGTAAGCATCAATAATTTTTAAGCTTGTCGCATTCTGCGCTCGTCATTTGAATATACAATAAATCAAGGATTTCACATATACGCTTTATATATTCCAGAAACTGAAGTTCGCAATATGCATTGCTTATGTTGTCATTAATAACGCCGCCTCTCTATTGACAAATCGTTTATTGTGATACAGGATTTTCCATGTGACTCAACTGTTTTTCGACGGGAATTATGAAAATGGATTTAACTGCACTATTTTGGTATTCTTCATATCTTTATAAATAATTGTTGCGCGTGCGCGTAAACACGTCATTTTAATATGCTTGAATTATTATGAGTTTACCTTAGTCGGAAAACTAGAGCGAGGATCGAGGATCCGGTGACACGACATGCTATTCTAATCCGAATGTCCCGACCCCCATTGAGTGAAAGAAGAAGACTTGATATATAGTAGAACATGTATTCTCTAAGCATCTAGAAAGTACGAGGTCCGATTCCAGAAGAGAATCAGGATCTCGGACTAGAATCCCGGTCCGGGTTTGGGTTATAAAACGATACAGATAATGCGTATTTATGAAGTTGGGTCGAATGGGAACCAACATTGAAGTCTGTGACATTGATAGTCAGGACGACCAATGGGAAACAACATTGACGTACGTGACATTGATAGCTAGGACGACCATAATATTGACCAGTAGGGATTAACTGATACGAAATGACCAATTGAATTAGACTTACAAGTGATTCTCTTACGACATTGGTTGAATATCCAAATATCCATCAATCGATCATTGTTAAACCACCATTAGAAACCTGGAAGCACTGGACGGCCGTCAAGTCCTGGTATGGGACTCTTCAGCGGTGCGCATCTAAGACTCCTGCACCTCGCAGGATTCGAACTCTGGTGTAGGCAGTAACTACCAAAGAAAAATGGGCGAGGTCGTGCAAAATCCCTAGGTCGATCAGAGTTAGACATTAACACCGTTGGATGCCAACCTAGTGGTCCGATGGTTAGGCGTTCGCGCACTATACCGAAGGTCCTGGGTTCGAATCCTGCGAGGTGCAGGAGTTGTGGATGCGCACTGCCTCTGATGAGTAGTCCCATACCAGGACGAAACGACCGTCTCGTGCTTGCAGGTCTCTAATGGTGGTCTAACAATCACTGATTGAAGATTCGGAATATGAGAATAGTAGACGAACTGTCTTGACATTTGATTTTATCTTTGGGTTACACAAAATGCTTATTCTTAAAAAAATGTTTGACAACTTTTGTTTTATTTTCAAAGTTCTTACTTTTTTTGGAAAAAAACATGTTCATATTTTCACTTTTCAAATAATATATAGAGAAATTTTCACATACCTGTCAAATCTACACCATTTACACTAGTTGCCATAATCTCTTTGCCTAAAACAATACCACTTTTTCTGTTTCGATCTACTGTATTCATCATAAAGGTATTGTTACTATTCACATCAATGGTACATTTTAAATTATGTAATGTGATCAGATTGTCAATTTGTTCATGAGTACCGACAGCTAGTAGTACATGAATTTGACCATTTTCACAACCAGAGAATGGATCAATAATGGGCAACCATGCATCGACTGGAATCATTGGATGCTTGTAAGAAAAAACAAACAAAACAAAACAACAAATATGTGTTTACATACCAAATAGAGTCAGTATGTTGCAACGTAGAACTTCGTACGTATATACATAAGTTCAGGTTGACATACCACATTAGCACAGAGGCGCAAATGTTATATCAAATCCCATGGTGATAGAGACAGTAGAGGTATTAATGGTAGGTAATGAAGAAGACTAGGGTTTGAAGATATTATTCAAGAAGTATAATTCAGTGAGATAAGGTTAGAAAGACAAAGGTAGATGTGCTGACGAATCCAGAAGATTAGGATTTGAGAGAACACACAGATTGGATACACTTGCGCCATTGCAAACGATTTTGAGCCAAGTCATTCAAGGTCTCTAACCATTGGTGACTTTCGTATGGCGGACCCCAACCAGACAGCCTACATCTACCACATGCAAAGTAGAAATAAATACAGATTGCAGATTATGAGTTATGATTGGTTATCCTAACTGTCAATGTCACAGACTTCAATGTTGGTTCCTATTCAACCTAACTGTATGAATACGCATTATCTGTGTCGTTTTATGACCGGGACCCGAACCCGGATCCCTAGTCCGGGATCATGATCCTCCTTTGGACTCGGAACTCGTATTTTCTGGATGTTTGTAGAATACAGGTTCTACTTCATATCAAGTCTTCTTCTTTTACTCAATGGGGAATTGGGACAATCGGATTAGAGTAGTATGTCATGTCACCGGATCCTCGATCCCCACTCTCGTTTTCCGACTAAGGTAAACTTGTAATAGTTCAAGCCTATCAAATTGACATGTTTACGTGTATGCGTAACAGTTATATAGTGCTTTCTCACAAAAATTAAGTTAAATTCACGATATTTGAATTTGAGTATTGAAATGAAGAAGTCAAATTATATAAACGTCATTCAATGAAATCATTTTTACATGTCAAAAAACCAAACAGAAGAATTCACAAACAAGGAAATACGGACGATCAGTTAGGCGATACAGATGTATGTTTGTCTTGACGGAAATGTACTGGGAACTAGAACTAGTTGAAAGTTAGTGAAAATTTAGAGAAGTACTAAACAAATTGTGTTCTGGATTCATAAGAAACTTTTCAGCAGTATAAACAGTTTTACTAGGGACTAGCCAGGTTTGGGCCCTGGGTTTTTCAGCATTTAGCAATTAAGTCAAAGTTTAGTAATTGACATCTTACCTCAAAACCATTGAGTTTATTAGTTGATATTTTTTTAACGTATTTGTAACTGACATCAGTTAGGCATTCAATTCTGCAGAGAATAAACACTGTGTGTGATGGTCAGAGGTATAATGTTTAGATCAAAATCAGCTGATATAGAAGCTTGTTCGATTATATTCATTTCTAATTATCTTCAAGTAACAATACACGTCAATGCAATTCATAAATATTTGTAGTTATTCAGAGATGAGGTAAGTTAGTGTATGAGAGGATAATCATTTTACAGTGAAGTATTTCTACAACAATGTGTACATTGTATGATTAATCAAAATTCTATATAGCAATGATATTTCATTATGCTTTCAAGCCTATTTAGCAAGTACATTACTGAATAAACTTCAGCTAGTCAAATAATAACATTGAGCAGATCGAGAGAATTATTTATCTGATCATATAATATTTTTCTACTGTTAATAACTAACTCCGCCTGTAGATCCTTCGTGGCTACTGCCGGTCCTAAGCCCGGATAATAGAGGTGGGTTGGGCATGGGATTGGCGACCCCATCCCGTCAAAAAACTAACTTGCCAAAAAATCGCTAACCAGAAGAAATAATTCACTGTTAATAACGAATGATCCGATCAGTTAGTAAATCATAATCAACGTAGCATTATCAAGCACATACACCAGCTGAAGTTGTGTCATACCGCATGAGAGTAGTGGAACAAACCCATCATGATAAGACAAAGCAATAAGAGTAGGAGTAACCGAGTCAGTGATAGTAAAACAGATTGAAATTTAGAAAACATGATGCTAGAAGAAAGAATTCGTGGAGTTGAAAAAAGTATAAGATAATTTTACTAGAACAGACTACATATCTTATTAGACAGAAGCATCAGTTTAATGGTTAAGATGATTGCAAAAACCTACATTCTGCGGCCTTCACCTAATTACATGGTTCAATCTGACAATTGGTGACTTAATGCTCTAATATCTCTGTCCTTAGTTTTTGTCTAGTCTACTTCCATTGTACTCAATATTGCGCGTCCAGGTAGACAGACAGACAGATACAACGCAGAACTTCGTACGTAAGTACATCAGTTCAGGTTGCCATACCACGTCAGCACAGAGACGTAACTGTCAGTTCAAATCCAACAGTGATAGCAATAGTAGAATTATTAGCAGCAATGCAGAAGATTAGAGTTCGAAGATATGATTCGAAAAGTATAATTCAGTGAGATAAATTTAGAATGAGAAAGATAGAGATTATGAGGAATTCAGAAGGTTAGAATTAAAAAGCTCACAAAGAGTGGAAGCACCTGAGCCATTGCAAACGATTCTTAGCCATGTCGTTCAAGGTCGCTAATCATCGGTGACTTTCGTCTCGCGGACCCCAACCAGGTAGACTACATCTACCAACATGACTCAGTCCACTTGTCAGTGACTTCATGGATTTGTGTCATGTTTTGGTCTGGCCGCCCCTAGCTTTCTTCCAACCTACTCCTACACCACAAAACAAAGCTCGACGAGGCAGTCGGTTGATATTCATTCGTAACACATGTCTCAACCTCCTCAACTGATGAAGTTTCATAACTTCATCTATTGATTTGCCATCCCTACCTAGAACTCGTTTCCTAACGACAGCATTGCTTATACGGTTGTCCCAGGATACACGAGCAATGCTTCGGATACACCTATGATCGAAGACTAGTAACCTACGAATGTCCTCTACTCTTAACGGCCATGTAGGACGGAGCGAACTGCTGAACAGTCCACTCGTCCCTTGGTTAGCAAGCGGATGTCTCGCATACTCCATAAAATACACAAGTTGGCAAATGCCAGTAGATCATTCTGTATTCGAGCTGAGATTTCGTCAGTCACCAGGCCATCAGCACTGATGAGACTCCCAAGATAAGTGAAGCGGTCTACACGTTCGACTACTTCACTCCCTATCACTAGTTCAGGTGCAGATGCAACCCAATCTTGAAGCAACATTTTGCATTTCGAGAGGGAAAACCGCATCCCGAACATGCTTGGATTGTTGCTCAGGGTGGTCAGAAGACTATGCATTTTGTCAGGGTCTTCACCAAGTAGGACTATGTCATCCGTCCAGGTAGATAGTGGTTTGATATATATAACACATGTACTTCCAGCCAATGAAGATTTACTACTACCCCACCAACCGGTTAAACATCTTCACACCTAAAGTCCTGCTTCTGATCTTAGTGTTGCTAATTTGGTGGACCGAACATACGAAAGCAATTCATACACTAATAATAGACATTGTAACATACATACGATCGAATTCATCATCTTCATGTTTCCAGAGACTAGTATGATGAAATGAGATGATCGATTCGAACTTTCGAAAAAAATATATTTGAAGACTTTAATGGATTCTATTTTAAGATTATTTATAAAATCCCTTAATCTCAAAGTAATTAACTTCACATGTTATTTTCTTAGACTGGTAGTATTACTTGGAAGATTTGCCTCATAGCCAGTTTAGTCAGTAAGTACGATTTTTTTCAATAGTTCAGAGGATTTGTCAAGTTTCATTATTAAATGTCAAAATAAAAATTATTTCTCTTAAATCATCCAAAATGATGAACACTTACATGTGCTTTCAATAAACTTTGTATGACATTATTTGAATGCCACAAAATATGTGATGTAATCAAATCTACATGAGCATACATTTTTATCAATTGATCTGTTGGAATTTTCACTAGACCAATTAAATGATCCGGTAAACCACTCATCCATTTAGACCATACTTCTAAAACGATAGATGATTTAGTCAAACGAATAATTGATTCCTACAGTAAAAATCAATGAAAATGAGCAGGTAAGGATGAAATGTTGATAGAAAACATCGTAAATCTATCCCCTAACAAACTACCTAATGAAGCCTAATGAAATCCATAGACCAATCAACAAAATGTTGTATTACAGATAAAAAAATAACGTACGTTCATACTTTATTTACTAGTTTATAATCTAACTTTTTCTTACTTTATGAACGAGGCGGTCACGTCTGACAGACAAGATGGTAAACCATGGAATACGAATACGTATGGAGTAATAACTAAAAAACTAGCATAGACCCTTTTCTTCGGGTCTTAAATCCTAATCTTCTGAATTCCTCATCACCTTTATTTATTTCACTAGATTCTACTTCTTGAATATAATATCGTTGAACCCTAAAATTTCCGATTACGGCTAACAATTCTACTAATTCTACTATTATGGGATTTGAAGTGACAATTCTATATCTCTGTGCTAATGTGATATGGTAACTTGAACTGATGTACGTATGTATGTGCGAAGTTCTATGTGGTTGTTGACTGAATGACTTTTTCGGGCCATACACAATTTGGTTTCGTGTTTTTCAATTCGTTACAAGTGTGATCAATAAATCACAGTCAGTTTGAACTTGAAATATTTTTTCAATATTTTCGACGCCAAGGCCGGGCGCCGTGGTCAGGGCAAACTAATAACTAAACTCTTAAAATTATTAAACTCTTGACCTGTATGATAGGGGTCAGGTTACACAGCGATAGTAATTACTCTGTCGAATGAAGTGGGGGTTAAATAAATAAATAGGGTTATTACACAATCTGTAACTGCACTAATTACTTCGTACCCCTTGGATATGGTTTTTTAATACAAATCTAGTATACGGTTAAGTTTGACATTAAACTGAGAGTACAAATAAACAGTTAACCTACTAAAGGAAATTGTAACATTTTATGCACAAACATGTACAATACTCATATAGCCATGAATTATCCATACATGAAAATTAAACACAATACATTCAGCTCGGTTGTTATAAACCTGAGGTTAAAAAATTAACTACAGTAATAATTTTTGACCTTAAAATGTTGACGACAGTCTTTCTGTTGGGGATGTTAGATACCCATAAGTTGCTTGATAAATGTCTTTATTTTAGATTTTATTCATGAACTGATCAGTCGACCTTGAGATCACATCTCCCACCAGGGAAATCCTTGGCTGTGATTGGTTACTGTGTTATTGTAGTGTGCTATTTTTGTGACTGTCCCAAGGACGTCTCTATGGTGTATAAATAAACGCAATTTGTGTACTTGAATTCATTGTGTGCTGGCTGAGTGTTTGTAGAATACACTTCTTACGCTATATCAAGACTTCTTGTTAGTATATTTGGGTCAACGGATCAGAGTAGCCTACCGGGATGCTGGTTCATTATCTCGTTCTCATTTATCGCCTAAGGTGAACGCATAATAGTTTTAAGCGTACCTAGTGACGAGTGTAACACTTTCATAGGTAGAAAATTAAACTTATGCGCTCATCAATGTCTCATTAGTTTATGAATAGTTAAAAAAATTATCTGGTGAAATAAGCTCAACTGAACTAACACTCAAATAAATTCTCATCCAGTCCCGTACAATTGATATTCTGCAGAGATGGCTACCATCTATTACATAATAATAATGTAAAAATATGTAATTAGTTGACCTGTAGAAAATGTCGCATAAGGTTAAACAGTAATTAAGACGGTTTGCATCTTTACAGTAACGTTTTCTTACTTATTAATATTTGAATGGGAATCCATGATAACGGGGGGGGGATTAAACATTTCGAATGAGAGACAGTTACAAACCAATGGACATTCAAAGATGATTACGAACTAATTCAAGTTAGAAATTTGGTCCATTGCATGCCTGTTCAATCATTTACAGGTTAAGAATCTAGCAGCATTGAACGAATCATTTATGAAGTGTACGAAATAATCAATCTTCTCAATTAAATAAAATACAAACTTCTACATCAGTCTACTATTCTATCAAATAGTCATTCACAGATTGTGTTAATGATTATGTATGGTTAGTTAATAGTAAATTTTTATCGATTCACCTTATTTCACCGTTTACATCAAGGATAGATATTAATTAGGCAGTCATTGAAAACCGGGAATCATTGGACAGCTGTTTTCTCCTTACAGAAAGACCTTTTAGCAGTGTACATTCACAACTCCACCACATATCGAACTTAGAACTATCAGATCACTTGATAAGCATTAAATCTTTAGACCACTGAGCCAGTATCCAACAGTTTACATGTTTAACTTCAATCAAACCATAATACTGGACAACTGTCTTTCAGTGCATCTGATGAACAACTGCTTGACACTCAGCATAACTAAACTCTACTACTCATAGTTCCTCTATGTAACACCCGAAAATTCCTACTCAAACTTAATCATCCGGTAGAAAATAGAAAAAATAATAATAAGAAGAAGAGATACATACCACACACACACACACACTTACTTGATTTAACAAACATTGTGATCTCAAAGTGAATGCATATTGTGGACATGAACCACTTAACCATGAAACATTAGAATGATATTGATCTAAATTAGGGGCTGATGAATCGTATAATGATTGCATTTGATGACACCAAGGTAAACGTACAATTAAATAAGAATGTTCAATCAATATGGAATCATTTGACAATTTGGTAATATATTTTGATGTTAATAATTGTTTATTATGATGATGATGATGATGATTTTTATTATTGGATAATTTTAATGCTTTACCTTGAGATATATGTAATATTGTATTTAATATTATTGTATTTGATGAGTTAATTGTCTTTGTAATAATATCTAGTTTAGGATACTTGAAAGAAAAAAAAGATAAACATACAATAAACATATTTGTACAATGCATTAAAAAAAATGATAAAGTAAGAATTTATCTTGAAAAAACGTTTACATTAGTTAGCATTTTCTTCACGAATCACACAAAAATTCACTGTAGAACCTTAGAGAACAAGAAAATACAAAGGGGATCGCCAAAAGCTACGTACATTCAAGACCGTATGTCGAAGCCCAACTGAGCCATGTTACTAGTCATAGCGATAATATGTTTTTCACTGCTATCCAATGTAACTTTGATAGCTTACATCAAACTCACTTATGCAAATACGAAGACTGAAATGAGTAAAAATATTTAATTTCCAAATTGAGTTGTAATCTGCACACAAATCGCAGCAGCTCTATATAAGATTATCTTACCAACTCATAAATGGACTCATTGAAAACTATTCATTCACCATAGGCTCTAACCAATCACATTGCTATAAAAAGAAGGGTGATTATATCATTGGTCTGAATCACACTGTTGATCAGATTGAACTAATTACATGAGTACTTTTTGAAAATTTGGCAATAATAATAATCATATCTTCTAGTCGATCATTTCTTTTCGAATATTATGTATATTCCAAGCTTATTTTGTCTTATGAGTCAAAAATACATTTATCATTTATTCCTAGAGTTTGTACATATCACGAAGTCAAAATCTAACGTTCACATAAACTTTTCAAGAGGGTTTTTTGTTGTTGAAGAAATCATCGTCGATCCTGCCTTTGATATTAGTCAAATAAAATCTATCGTTCACGCACAATACCGAAGGTCCCAGGTTCGAATCCTGCGGGATGCAGGAGTCGTGGATGCGCACTGCTTAGGAGTCCCATACCAGGACGAAACGGCCGTCCAGTGCCTCCAGGTTTCTAATGGTGGTCTAACATTGATCGACTGATGGTTTCAAAAATGTGTAACATAACAATCTTCACAACCCCGTTATGCAATAATAAAAAAGCAAGAAAATCTATAAATTTAACTCTCCAGCATCATCTCTGTAAGAAACATGTCAATCTGAGTCACATACTTCAGTGAAACAACTGTCCAATAGTTACCTAAATAAGTTCAGTTCATGTTATTGATGCACGAAGAATCCCCGAGAAAGTTTACAATCGTTCCACAGATTGTTTTTAGTCCTAAGTAAGTAGAATCCGGGTTGAGAACTAATCATTTTACATTGTTGAAATATTTTGAAACGTAAATAACTGAAATACCAGAATAGATATTTTGTTAATTGGCTATTGTCCGTCTGCTTCTTAATTCGTTGTCATTACGATTTACCAATCAGTTATATGCGATTACCTTCATGATTTTTAATAAATTATAAATAATAACCAAAGTCATAGACCGACATAACTCTAACTTAGTGAACCAAGTTGGTTTCGATCACTATCATCAACTCAAGAAAAATTATTTCTGGTACATGAAATGACAATATTAACAAAATAATAAAATATATATATATATATTGAAAATTGATACTTTCAATCAAACATGTAACATACCATCATTGAATTTTGAACAGAATGAAATTTCTTATTTTGAATTGATTCATAGTCTGAATTAAAAGAAAATAAAAATTCAACACATGTGATGATACACATACATATTTAGAATCGAAGATTTACAATCGATCACTTATGAATATGATGTTTGAATTTCTATGAACTTAATTAAACTAAGCATGCATTGTTTCAAGCTTCTTCCTACTAAGGTACATGCAGAAATTCCTCAACAACAAAAAAGAAAATCATTTTACATCATTATTTTATGTTTCACATAATAAGTTGTGAGTAGTAATCGACTGTGAAACACAAATATCATGCATATTTGGTGTAAATCAAACACAGAAATCTATTAAGTAGGGAAAAAGGGAAAAAATTGGGGAAGGTGAAACTTTTAGATATATGAAATGATGAATTATTATTATTATTATTATTGTGTTATCTATTATTCAATATCTGTCTAAATATAATACTTTTATTTACTTTATTAACTATCGATATATGTTCTGACCAAAGTTAGAATTTTCAATACAAATGTTAACACAGTTCTATTCTATGGGGCAGAGATTGGGAAAACTACCAAAGCCATCATCCAGAAGATATAAGTATTTATTAACAGTTGTCTACGCAAAATACTTCGGATTTGTTAGCTAAACACCATCAGCAACAACCTATTGTGGGATAGAAACAACCAGACTCGAGCGGAAGAGGAAATCAGGGAGAAGCGCACACATTGAGGAAAGTACTCAACAGTGTGACAAGACAAGCCATCACTTGGAACCCTTAAGATCAAAGGAAAAGAGGGAGGTTGTTAGGTTCGTCACTAGGTATGCTTGAAACTATTATGGGTTCACCTTAGTCGATAAACGAGAACGAGACAATGAACCAGCGTCCAGGTAGGCTACCCTGATCCAATAGCTAACCAAAAGTCTTGATATAGCGTAGAAAGTATATTCTACAAACACCCAGCAAGCACAATGCAATCGAGAACACAACTCTCGTTTATTTATACATCACAGAAACGTTCTTGGGACAGTCACAAAAACAGCACACTAAAATGCACAGCAACCAATCACAGCCATCGATTTTCCTGGTGGGAAATGAAATCCCAAGGTCAACTGATCAGCCCATCTATAAAATCCAAAATCAAGACATTTATCAAGCGAGTTCTAGGGATCTAACTTCCCTAACGGAGGCCCAGAAACACACTACGCCGAGAAAAGAACACAGAGATGAGAAGAATAAACGAAAATTTGACAGAATTGGCGAGGGAAGCCCAGGACAGAGTAGGCTGGAGAATACTGTTCGGTGGCCTATGCTCCATTGGGGGTGACAGGTGTCAGTAAGTAAGTAAGTAAGTAAGTAATAAGTTTAACCATTGCAGAATTAAGAGGGGACTTAAATATTGACATTCTGTTACATTTCTTGTCATAGATGAATAAACTTTGTTTAAATTATTTCTTATGTATGTTGCATTGTGATCAGATGATTAATGTAGCGTAAACTCTGTGTTTTAATAATACAGGGTAGATTAGCTAAGTGTCCTCACTTTTTTTGATAATCTAATGGGAATAAATAAATTCAATTGCACCAATAGGATTTTAAGGTATACTGGTCAGTGCTACTGGGTTACCACCAGTTGAAGTGAAGATCAATCGTCAAATACACGTAAACGAACTAGTAACTTAGTGGACTACGTCATCAAGTGACCTGATCATGTGACCAACTTATATTGGGATGTTTGAATTATTACACTAGTTAGTGTATAACACTCAACTTGGAACTTGTACAAATTACAAATACTGGTGTTCGATCTTTTCTGTTGGAAAAATTACAGCAAAAGGGAACAAAATAAACGAGAAATAATAATTGCAACATTAGTCGTCATTAAATAAAAGAATCATTTGATGAATTAAAGAATCTTAATTTTGCTTTATAATTTCTCTGTAATCAACAGTTCTTTTAAAATTTTAGAAAATTTTTATTCAGTCCACATTAATGTGAACTTAGGTTTAACAATTACTTCGGTGTCTGGCCTGACACTGATCATATTTTCTTTCTAGTTAAAATGATCAAACAGAGGAAATATGTTCATGTATTGTTCTGCTTCCAAAGTTATTGTAAGAGAACAAGTTAATACACAAAATTTATTTGATTAGGTTCAATTCGATTCGATCTCTGAATGATAGACTTGTTATTCAGTTTATCTGTAGTGGTTATGAAGGAGAAGAACAGATAGTTGTCTGTGCTAACAATGTCAGGTAGATTGAAGTATTTCAACGTCTGGTTCAAGATTTATCGAAGTCACGGAGGGAATATCTATTGAAAAAATTCATACAGCCTATTGAATTAATGTTGACAATGTAAGCAGAAACAGGTTGGTAATAATGACTATAGTATCCAAAACATGGCAGAAATCCATGAAGTCATTGACAAGTGGACTGAGACATGTCGGTAATTGTCGACTACCTGGTTGGGGTCCGCGAGATGATAATAATCGATGGTTAGAGACCTTGAATGACATGGCTCAAAATCGTTCGCAATGGCGCCAGTGCATTTATTCTTTGTGTTCTCTCAAATCCTAATCTTCTGGATTCTTCAACACCTCTAGTTTTGACTTTCTAAACTTATCTCACCGAATCATACTTCTTGAATAATATCTTCTAATCCTAACCTCTCCGATTACTTCTAATACCCTTACTACCTGTTCTACTATTGGATTTGAATTGACAATTACATCTCTGTGCTGATGTGGTATGGCAACATGAACTGATGTACTTACGTACGAAGTTCTACGTTGCATCTGACTGACTGAATGACTATAGTATGGATTTGAATCATTGTATTAAATATGGATGTACATGAATATGAGATATAACTCTGTTAGGAGGACATAGATTGGATTAAAGCATGTTCCATACATGATTGCGTTGTTGCACGCTGATTGGCTCTTTCGTATCCAATCAACGCCAGTCAAAACTGGGGAAACATTCTAGAATCTTCTCATGAAAGAAACTATAAATATATTAACATTTTGAACTTCTCTGACTTCCATCTAACCTTGTTATTGGAATAAAATCTCTTTCCTGTTAAACCATATTCTGATTTTGGGAGAACGTTTTGAGTGAATTTGTGTCCGAGAATACTAAGCATTAGGAATAGGTGGGTCGTAATAAAGAGATAATCATGACAAACCCCAGCAAAGATCAGACAAAAGAGCACTACTACTACTACTACTACTACTGAAGAACTTTATACAAGAAAGAAATAATTATTTAGAACTTAAATGCTTTCAATTGTAGTGTGACTAAGATCATTTCATAACATGAACTATGAGAAAAAAATAACTGTTGTTACCTTTTTTCATCATATTGATATTTGTTTGATTTCTTGGTGTAACATTCATATTCCAGATTGGTTCTAATTCAAATTCTAAACGACCAATCACATTTGAATCGATTGCTTTCAG